AGAAACTCGGCGTATGTTTGCAGTCCCGAGTAAGTGGTGACGAGTACGTGTCCATCCCGCTTGACTTTTTCGAGTATCTTCTTAGCAGCTTTACCAGCGCCAGTCAGAGTCGTATCGTAGTCGCCATAGTTCCGAAGCTCCATCTCCCGTTCTATGCGGTCTTCGCGTCGGGTATCTAGCATACCGCTACCAGACGTATGTAGGATAGATACACGTAGAGCTGGCCACCAGCGGTGAAACTCATTAACCCACTGCTTCATGACGGTTGCTGGGCATACCACAATAACAGGCTTGGTTAGTAGCTTCGAATAATGTAGGCCTGCAACGAAGCTGACGGCCTGTATTGTTTTACCAAGACCCATCTCGTCTCCAATGATACCGCCCACGTTTTGAGAATACAGTTCCCATAACCACTGCACACCCGTCTTCTGATAGTCGAATAATGCTGGATAGATATCACCGGGAATTCGAAATCCACCATCGAACTCTGCATCGGCTTCAGTAGGATGAGGCTGGTAACAGTCTTCTTCTTCTTCTTCTCCTTCTTCCTCCGCAGTTGTCTCGCCATTATTGGCTTTCGCCTTCCTCCTTGCAGCTGCTCGGTTCTTTGACCAAGTCTCAATGCGTTTCCGGTAGACTCGCTCATTACCGTCATCAACACCTGCAAGATCCTCAACCACTGCTTCTTCTGTAGATTCAGCTTTGGCCTTCTTCGGCTTTTTGCCCTTGGCTTTGCGCTTGCGACCGGTAGCTTCCTCTGCATAGGAGTCATCTCCGGCTGTGTCTTGCACGTCTTCATCCGACTCATCTAACGTCGCAAGCTGGCGATTGGTCATACCAGGCTCGAAGGCATCATCAGAGTCCGGATCTGTAAAACCGATTTCTGCACCGGACTCGCTAGCGGGAGTAGCCTTCCTTCGCTTCCTAGAGCGTGCTGGAGGATGTGGACTGGGAGCTTCCGAACTGGACTCGACGTTATCAAAGCCAGGCTTCATCAAATTCCGGTGCGAAACAGGTCCATTTGCTGCCTCGACCACCATGTCTTCAACCTCGGCATCCAGCATGACCTCCCCTAGAGTCCCCGAGCCCGGTTGATTCTGCACCAACTTGGAGAAAGGCGTAATTTTTCCTGTGCGAATAAGCCACTCACGCTGTGTTTCGTTAGGTAGGGGCCCATTTGCGCTATCTCCCGCTGCTTCATCTGCCCCAGGTTCTTTGTGGCGATCGTTGATGCGCTGTTGTATGCCATCCATCTCTTTATCCAGGTCGTCGATCTTCTGTCGATATGCTGCCATCTCGCCACGGAGCTTTGCCTTTTGTGTATCGAGAGCTGGTAAAGCCAAACGGTTTTTGAGCTTCTGTATAGCAGCCTCTGCTCGCTTTGCCTCAGCCTCCAACTTCTCTATGCGCTTTTTGTCGCGAGCATCTGCCTGCTCTATGAGCATCTGGTCGGCCTGCCGGCCAATATCTCGTTCCAAGTCGTCTTGTGCTCGAGTACCGGTTGTCAGAAATTTGAGTCTCTCCGTTTCGTCCGCATCCGAGGCGATGCCTTCGTCTGGGATCTGGTTGCCATCGTCGGCTGGAGCGTCGTCAATTGTGGTGGCAGGCGCCACAGGGGACGCTTCGTGTGCAGAGGGCGACACCATTTTGAGGACGAACTTTGAACAAGAGGCAGGAGTTCGAAAGGACGTATCGTGGGTCAAGACGGGTGAAGACTGGCTGGTGAAGCCCTGCCACTGTCAGGTTGAAATCAAGGGAAGGTGCGCTGAAGGCAACAGCGGGCAGGCGCACAGCGGGAAGGGACGCAAGCCAGCAGGCTATGGTATAGGTGAAGGCATCGCGACAAAAATTAGAATATTAAAGACAGTGTATCAGGCGACGCTACAACAGAACATGCCGAGTAACAAAGTTACGACGACGATGAATACTTTTGCCCGTAGCGATGATATCACTACCCAGAACGCGCTAGGCGGGCGGCCGCGGCTCACTTCCGCGTTACTTACCATCGCCCCTCGACGCGTCTAGACATGTAATGTATCCAAGCGTCGAACAGACTAGGAAAGCCTCCAACACCAGCACATGTACACGTCAGCCCAACAAGGAGTTGCATTCCCTGCTTCACTAATTGCAACTGGTCGGGTTCTGCGATGAGCACCGCTTGTTGCATGCCATGTCTTCTTCTTGTCACACACCTTAGCATAGAGCAACCCAGACATATTCACTGGACATATTAGCCCAACACTTCTGCGTTCAGCCTCGTGCATGTCGTAGCGGTGGCGCCAGTTCGAAACATACCGCTCCCCCCCTTTCTTCTCGAAGACTGACTCGTAATCTCAAATCAGATCAGTTGGGCACGTAGGCATTTTGTATGCAACAAACTCAGCTGGACCCCGGGGCTTACATACATGCTATATGATCTGCTTGGCTGCACAACGCATCACCAATAAGAGCCGGGATCTAATGTAAATACTTGTGTATGTTGTGAAGGGCGCCTCACCCAAAGGGCGCAACCCTCAGTGGCTACAGCAAGTATCGAACTGGCTTGCTGTCTCATGCGCGGCCCTGTCTTCAATATGAAAGTTTATCCGGCCCATGCTACGACCCAGCAGAGACGGTCGCCTAGAGAATCCTCCCGTGGTGGGATGTGGGGAAGCGAGGCAACGTTACTCTGCGTGCAGGGCGGCTCACCTGTTTCGGTAATGTATTACCAGGATCCCATCCTTTTGTCAATGCTTTAGGCATTTCCTTCTGTGTGTTTGGGACAGTTTGGGCGAGACTGAGTCGCCGCTCGCCCGCTTCCGCTCCTGATCAAGCCACTCATGATTATGATGATCCCGTGGCCGTCCGCCCGCTGCATGATGGCGTTAGAGGGCGCCATGTTGTGGGCCATTGGCTGTCGTGTATATGTTTGATAATCAGGGCTTGTGTTTCCGTTTCGCGCGAACGTGAACATGACTTGTGTAGCTCCTCCCTAATACCAACGCAGCAAACCTCCATCTGCTTGTCTCCATGACATGATCGTTCGTCTTGCACCGACACCACGCCCACATGGCTCCTCATGGACTGCTTTCCCTTGTACTGGCCTTTGCGCTCACCTCTACGTCGACCATAGTGGTGGCTCTTAGGTGAGCACGTGTCCGCACAAATGTCATCAGGCCCTGGTCTAACGCATCTCAGATTTTACACTAGGTACTTTATCGTTGGAAAGCTTACTACTCCCGACTGGATCATGCTCCTGGCACTTGTATGTTGATCATCTATGACCCATCAAGAAACCTTGGCTAACACTAGCACAGATAGGGACCTGGTACGATACACCTTTTTATACATGTACACAATACAAAGACTAACATTTACGCTCTATCTCGCAGGGCATCTACAGTGGTCAACTGGTACATGGTGCAATTCATGGACCACAGCAGCGTTGATGTAAGCTACCGCTGCCCATTGAAGCGATGGAAAACTGACATATTGGAGCCCAATGTTCCGGACACAATGGAGAGGGTCGTTGTTGGCGCTCTGCTATCGATTTGGTTATATCGATTGAACTACATCATCGACCTCTGCCTTGTCAAAACATCAATCCTACTGTGTAAGTCGTGTTTCGTGTTTGAACCCTCTACATTGCGGGGTTCCGGAATTTGGATGTCCAATGTGCATGTAGCTGATACAACAACAGTCTACAATGAAATCGCGGCATCGAACCAACGCTTTCACTTTGGCATTCGAGCTCTACTCTTCATCAACATTGTTGGTGGAATTGCCTTTGCCTTTGCCTCCATCTTCATGTGTTATCCAGTCGCTGATGCATGGTCGTTTGAGGTCTTCATGGGCGGAGTGAAGGGTAAGGCAGCCACGCAATGTTATTACCCAGGACCTTTTTGGCTCTCCAACGCTGGCTACAACCTCGTCACCGACGTGATCATCTGGACAGTGCCGATGGCGTTTTTCATGAATCTCCAGGCAATACCACTAAGACAGCGTCTCGAGCTCGTAGCGACCTTTTCGGTGGGTATCGTAGCTATCGTCGCGTCGGTAGTTCGACTTTACACGATTGTGCTCTGGTTGTCTAGTTTGGAGCAGCAGAGAATAAACACGGCAAATGTGTTGATATGGAGCCAGGTGGAACAGCACGCCGGTCTCATAGCAGGTTCTATCCCGTTCTTGCGGCCATTATATCGTCAAGTGCTGGCTAGGGCAAGGAGAAGAGAGCAGAATAGCCCCAGCCCGGCAGCGCATCTAGTTGAGGAACCTGCACCAGAGATGGTCCAGGGAATGCTCCGGAGGCCCATCCTTCCATCAACAACCTCTACATGTGGGTCGAGCAACCGGGAGTTCAGGCGACCCGAGTGGGTTCTTGAACCAATTGAGCCTGTTGGGAAGGATTGTATTTGGGAAGTGCCGCACCCTACTTGAGGCTTTTTGTTTTCAACATACAGGATGTGTTATGACCATGGTTTGGATAGATTCTAAAAAGGCGTAACATTTGGTTGAGGGCGAGTCGCAAGACTCGAGTTAGAGGCAAGGGCTATTCGATATGTATAATGGATAACATCATGACCCATTCTGATAAGCTAGCGCGCAGGGGTGTATCTGGTTACTCTGCCGTTTGAATTCTCTCGAGATGGAGAGCAAGTAGTATACCCCTTCTTGGCAAGACTTGATGGTAACGCCACAATTGGCCATGGTGGTATGACATGCCGAAAGGCGCCACAGATGCCGGTCTGGCGACTGTTCATGTGTAATCAGCGGTTGGTGGGCTCACCGTGACACGATCCACTGAGGGAGCGGCATAGAGAACATGGCGAGAATCTTTCGGCAGCGGGTTAGTAGCAGCTAACCCCCTATGTGGCAGAAGGCGGTCAGCCCCAAGCGGTCGTAGTGGGCGGTATGTGATTGGTCAGCCGGCAAAGGCGCATCTCTGGGCAGGCACTAGTGCCGTAGTGTGGACGCGTCGGCCTTCGGAACAGCAGTGAACCTGGGTGGCGAAAGTGGTACGAATGGCGATCAGGGCGCGGCCAATCTGCAATTTACTTAATCCACCGCCTCCTTTGCCGCTACTTTGCTCGTACCCTCACTGCGTTACCGCCAATCGCTCCCTCATCACCTCTGCTCCTTGCAGTCATTCCTTCTTTTTTTCTTCTAGTCTCTGGTACAAAAAAAAGAGACATCCACAACGGTTGTGCTGCGCATCGCGACCCTGCAAAATGTACGTCCCTGACGCAATCCGCATCCCCCACAACAACACATACTTACTCGCTCCAGGAACAACGCAACCTCAATCCTGACGCCCATGGCGCAGGACACGTACTGGGGCTCTTTTGAAGAGATTTCCAAGTACAATGTGCAGCTCAACTACCTCGAGAGGATGTGGCTGACCTGGTACGCATGGATGGGCAACGACATCCTGGCCACGGGCATCATGTCTTTTACTATCCACGAGCTCTTCTACTTTGGCCGCTCGCTCCCCTGGATCATCATCGACTGCATACCCTACTTCAACCGCTACAAGATTCAACAGGTGCGTTGCCAACTACATGGGCTTGGCATTGATGAAGCTAATTCAACGTAGAACAAAATCCCTACTGCTTGGGAACAAACTCAATGCGCCCTCCTCGTCCTCCTCTCCCATTTCACTGTCGAACTCCCTCAGATCTGGCTATTCCACCCCATGTGCCAGTACTTTGGCCTCCAGACCTCTGTTCCCTTCCCCAGCATCTACAAGATGGCATACCAGATTGCCATTTTCTTCGTTTTCGAGGACGCATGGCACTACTGGGCCCACCGCCTCATGCACGTCAGCTCATTCCTGTACAAGAACGTCCACAAGATTCACCACCAATACTCTGCCCCCTTCGGTCTCGCCGCCGAGTACGCCTCGCCCATTGAGGTCATGGTTCTGGGTTTTGGCAGTGTCGGTGTTCCCATTGTGTGGTGCGCCATCACCAAGGACCTTCACATCCTGACCATGTATTGCTGGATTGTGCTACGCCTGTTCCAAGCCATTGATGCCCACAGCGGTTACGAGTTCCCCTGGAGTCTGCACCACATCCTGCCTTTCTGGGCAGGTGCTGAGCACCACGATGTTCACCACGAGAAGTTCATTGGCAACTACGCTAGCAGCTTCAGGTGGTGGGACTTTGTCCTTGATACCGAGGCTGGTGCCGAGGCCTCCAAGAGGCGCAGAGAGCGCAAGATGGCCAAGCTCAGGAAGGCCCAGTAAAAGAGGAATGAGCAATTGTAATGCGTACGGAGAGACGTCGGTCCTGGCTGACTTTTCTGACCGCCAGTCTCAACGTGGAGCTGGCATGAAAACGGCGTTTTTTGGTACAGGGAAAACGCAGTTATGCATTTGGTGGTATTAGACGGCACAGACCCTGGATAATAGTATGAGTGTTGGCTGTACATAGGAGCCGGGTCTCTATTAGAACATCTATATAATAATTGTTACGGTCGTTATGCTTATACACATCCATTTCATATCATGCAAAAGTGAGCTGGCTTTCCGAAAACCGGACGTTCCAAAGCAAAGTGGTGTATTGAATGTTGCTATTGTTGAGCAGTATGTACGGGACTCGAACGACGCCCCTGGTGATAGCGCGGAATGGTCTTGGCGCGGCGAGGCCTGGCGCGCGTCGGCATTCCGAGCTTCATCAACTTTCTTTGGCCCTCTCATAGCCGCACAACCACCACCATCACCGAAACTCCATAATAACCCGACGACAAGATGAGCTCCGGACGCCCAGTCGTCCACCAGGACTACATTGCGAAAATCAGATATTCAAATGCGCTGCCTCCTCCACCATGCCCTCCCAAGCTGCTAGACATTCCCAACACCGGCCTATCGAGCGGGCAGTACACGTCGGCGGGCTTTGCATCTAGGCTTGCGCGAGAACAATCGCTGAATATTGAAGCTGATGCTGAGCTGGGTATGCCCATCGATCTGGTCGGTATTCCCAAGGTATTCGATGGAGATGAGTCTGGTAAGTGAATCTACAGCAGCGCAAATGGCGCACAGCGATTGACGCGTCGTATAGCTATTCAGGCTATGCCTCACCCGCCGCCGCTCAGTGCCGCAGATAAGGCGCTGATGCGACCGCCAAATGCGCTCGGAAAGAGTACCAGCCACGTCTCGGGCGCTACCTTCTTGCGGCGAACGGAATACGTTACCGCAAGTACCACTGGCGGCTCTAAGTTCGAATCGAGCAATTCGTCCAACACTATGCGCCTGCGTAGGAAGCGGAAGCAAGTCGAGACGTCCCTCGATGATCCTACAAACATCTCGCGACACATTCTCAAGGGCTTCAACATTGCCTACCCAGCAGATGCGTACAATGGACAGGACAACGCAGAGAACATTAGGGCGGCAGAGTCGACACCTGAAGAGCGACTGGCATGGAACAAGCCCAAGCACCCCAGGAACCCCAATCTCAAGCTGCTCGACTCGTACCCGCTTCTTCCAGACTGGGACGCTACACCCGATACTGGTGGATACATGGTCTTCAAATTCACCGCACCACCCATCAACAACCCACTCGATCCCTCATACGACCCACGACTTGACGTCGCTCTTCTCCGTCCCGCCGGTCAGACCATCCAAGATCAAGAGCGGTACATGGAAGACCTCCAAGCACACAAGCTCGACCCAACAGTCCCGCCACCCATCGCACGCTACCAATTCGAGTTCTTCCTACCCTCAGATAAGAGCAAAGTCCGCGGCATCAAGCGCAACTTCACCACACACGACCCCACCAACGAAGCCGATATCGACTTTGACATTGCCGAAGACGACGAAGGCCAGCCCCGCAAGTGCTTCAAATACGACAATATCCGCACCTACGAGACATCGCAGCAAGTCGGCGACCCAAGCGATACTTATGGTGATGTCGTCGCCCTTGCACTATACGACCCCGAGAAACACGAGTCTGAACCCCTGCGCGATACCAAGTTGCAGAAGGCAGCATACTTTTACCCTATTACTCAACGGACGAGCTTGAGGCCGAGAAGACCTGGTCGTGTCGATATGACGGAGGAGCAACCTAAGGTGGATATCATTGAAGCTGCGGGTAAAGATCCGGAGTCGCATGAGCGGAGGGAGATGTATAGGAAGAGGGCTGAGGGCATGGATATTGGGGAGTAGAGTTATTCTATTTGATTCGTGGGGGCCATTCCTTGGGAAATATTAAAGTCGTAGGGAACAAAGACTTAGGGAGGGTCTTTATGTATTCTGAATATGGAAGACTGGGATTCATTTTGCACCTTTTTTTGGAGAAATATTCATCAGCGTGGGCGTTTTATAAGTTGGCATATGGAAGGGATTTTATTGCCATGCTCGAGATCAATAAAATGGGGATTTTTTCTGAATACGAGATGATGTGCAGATTGGTGGGTTGAGTGATTCGTGAGGACGTGTCCTTTTGGTTTCAGTGATGTACAGTGGAGTGAGTAGGGGGGTTATTAAACGTCTATCTTCTTTCCGTCTTCCTTCGTTTTTCCCTTCGGATTGAGAAAGGCAAAAATAGGTTGGAATAATGCATGTATATGTCTAGTATATCTGAACACTTGCTCTCTATGGGACTCTGTATTGATTTAAAAAAAATACTAGAGACAACATCGCTATTTCAAAGCCGGATCACCTCTTCGCATAAAGAAAATAAGTGTGAAAGGGCGGCGAGGAAGATGCCTAGGTGGCTTGCGGTTTCTAGTCGGGAGCGCCAGACGCTCTCATTGCATTTGTACCAAGGTACATAGCGCTTTTGTCTGTGTCGCCGTCTTGGGCGATTGTTCGATGCGTCTTGGCGGGTGGTTGGTAGGATAGACGGGAGAGCGGCGGTTTTGTTGTTCTTGTTTCCGTGACTAGGCATGATAGTAGCGTGGGGGAACGCGATCTACATGGAGTCACGTGTTAGTGATGTGGGAAGGGTTCACGCTAGGTGGATGGATTGTATGCGCATACCGAGGAACAGGATAGAAGGAATTGGGTATTCTTTACACTGTAGTGGGATTCAAGCGGTATAGTAGTCTTTACTCTTGGGAGTGTAGTGGTGTTGAGGGTGCGAGATATTGTATTATTTTCTGGGTTGCCCAACTCCTATACATATATTCTCTCCGCGTCACCGCCCAGGCGACCCTTCATTACTCGCCCTTTCCTAATTTGCACAGAACGCCAGTGTGAGACAAGTGAGATAATTAGTGTGGTGTTTGCAAAGAACTAGCCTACTATCAGCTTAGTGACTCCAAGAGCTGCCGTGGTGAAAACACCGCCACATACTGAGAACTGCCCCTTCGCGCGCAACACAAAACACCGTTTGGGACCCAAAGACTGCAGCCAATGGGGGGTGGTGAGGAAAGCGTCGGAAGGCGTCATCGTAGGCACGCCACGCTTGTCTTGCGCATCTCTCTGATCCCCCTCGCCTCGTACCAAGCACAAAGATGTCGAGGCTAAAATATTACAGAGTTCTTCATGCGAGGCAGTGCGAGGCGGAGCTGGCCAGTCCAGGGAGATCACGTTTTTCACGCAGTAGGTTCTCAGTCCGGAGAAATAGCCTTATGGTCCAGGCGTCCCCAGATCAGATGAAATTGTCTCCTTGTTTGTGTTACTACGTTCGAGTAAAGCGTCACTTGTTTGGCATTAGCCGTCAGAGGCAAGAGCTAAGATATCTGGTCATGTGATCAGCCGTGTAGAGTGAGGATTGTTGTTGTGGTCTCGGAGGCGTGGATACGTTATGGAGTTGTTTTGACACTGGGTGGAGTGGGTCATGTGTGAAGAAAAGTATGGTTGGTGATTGTTGGTGGAGTGATTCAGGGGGTGGGATGGAAGATGTACGTGAGGGAGAGCTATTCCTTCATACTAGCAATGTGCGGTAAGCTGAACAGATGATACGCAAAACAACGTCAATGTAATATTTTCTTTCCTAGAAAACAACAAAATGAGTTGGAGTAACTGACGTGTAACAAGTCTAGAACACACGAATAAAAAAGTAAAAACGAAATCGTAACCATAATACGAGATTTGTAAATGCTGGGGTCATCAACAACGGTGATCCATCATAGCCCTCTTGCTCTATACAACTCCACAACACCGAGAAAATGATAGAAGCAATGCATATTCCGTCGTTATTCCGCCCTTAAATCGCCTCGTCGAAGGAAGAAAATGAGTGTTATAAGTGCGGCAAGGAAGATACCTAAGTGACTTGCGGTATCCAGTCGAGAGCGCCAGACATTCTCGCCGCATTTGTACCAACTTGCAGCACGCTTGCGCTTATGTGGCCTATGTCGCCGGTTTGAACGATCGGAAGACGCCTGTTGAAAGTTGGCAGGTAGAGGTTGGTTGTGAGTGGGTAAGATAGGCGACGTAGCGGTGTTTCTGCGAGGAGGCATGGTGGTGCTACAACGGGGTCTGGACAATAATGTGTTAGTAATCTCAGAGGGTGTGTTCTAGGTGAAAGGACATTGCTCGTACTTCGATGCAAGATGCACAGTATCTTTCTAAAGAAGCTCAGTGACGGTTAGGAGGGAGGTATCGTAGTGTTTTCCGTGTTGGCACAGTTGTTCAACTTTATATATGCCCTCTTTACCATTTATTCGCATCAACAGTTATAAGCAAGTCCTAAGCAACAAGGGGTCCAAGCGGTAGTATAAAGCCCCACTTTTATGTTCGAGATTACCAGGCTGAAAAATGAACGGTGAGCGGTAGGCTGTCCGCTTCGCATGCTACGTGGAGATCGATCCTCTAGTTTTAAGAACTGGGCATATCAATTGGCCAGAGCCTGAGGCTTAGCTGCGTGGCGCTGCGTGGCGCATGTGCTTAGCCCTTTAGCTCTAGCCAAATGGGAGACCTGCACTAGTGTCGTGAGATAGTAAGCTATTCAATCAGCTGATAGAATACGATTTGACTTTCTTTTTCTCCGTTTGCTATATAGCGTATCAGATCAATTATCTTAGAAAAGAATGGCAGGCCTTCAGCCACCTCGTCACTTGTCAAGGAGAGAATCCGTCTCGTTACTTATAACATGCCCCTCACGTATTCTAATATTATAGGCCTGTTTAGCGTTGTTTCAATATACTATATCAAGTTTGGCGTATAAAACCGACAAATTACATGCACTGTCCCATCTTGGCCACAGCTCACCTACAAACTCCAACTAACCCTGACTTTATTTACTTTCGCGTCCAATCACTAAATGCCGTTCCCCCTTAAGGCAGTATGCCGAAAAGAATGAAATACGTTTATACTTGTAAAGGTAGCTTCTTACCTACTGACATAGGAACAGCTACGCACTACTACACCCCACTAAGCACTTTAGTTAGCTACTTTGGTATACAAAGATTGTCGATTTCTCGGAAAGTTCTATTTACTGTATCAAGAAAGCGTACCATTCGCGGCACTGTTATAAAGTATATCCTATACTGCACAGTTTTGGTAATTACTACTTTTATGCGAATAGTACTACCAGTGGTATTCTAGTCCACCGAGAGTGCGTTTCGGCGTCCAGCCCATAAAATGACCTTCTTGTTCTATGTCACTTCCTATTAAAGTGCCACTTCTTAAGCATCGACGGTCAAGGATAACAGCGTGTGTATCTAGTCATGCGATCAGTTGTGTAACAGAAGAGTCATTGCTGTGACCTCTACTTTTTGGAGGAAATGGAGGGTTTGGACTCGAAGATAATGGTGAGACAAATGATGTGCATGAAGAAACGTCAGATATGCAAGTTCTGGTCAACGGTGGTTGCAGTTGTAAACTAAGTAAGCGAGATGTGCAAATAGGCCGCCCTGCAGTACAGTGATCTGCTGCAGACGAGAAGCGCCGCTTTTTGCTGCTGGGCGCGCTCTGCGTATTTTGGCCCTTTGTCTAGGCGACTCGCCATCTAATCCAGGTATATGTCAGTATGAAGACAGTCCCACTCTTCAATATGAGTTCCAGCGTCATCGTTGATACCTAGACTCCTAAGCCAGTAGATAGGCAACGACGCGGACATATTAAGGAGTAGCATATTAAGTTGATGAAGTGTTTGGAAGAGGTCGTCGGGCACCTTCTCCTCCCTCTCCCACTTCAACGCGAAGGGTAGCAGATGTTTTTCGAGGAAAGCGCGGCACGCCGTTTAAAATTTCTTTGTAGTACGGAAATGGCATGCCAGCCAGCCATGTTGGCTCGAGAGGGGGATCTGAAATAAGGTGGCCATGATTGGATAGAATGAAACGAATGACTTAGTTGTTAGGTTGTTCGAATGCGTGACGTTTTCTCAGTACGTATGAAGTATTATAGAGACACGGCATCAATGAAAGGAAGATGCTCTTATATGTGGCTGACAAGCCTATAATTGATGTTTTTCCTATGTTCATATTGAGACATAGTATCGTATTTAAGATGTGAGCTGACGATAACGACAGATGCCGTGGTGCAATTTGCGGAGTTGATGAACAGACAAGGTCCTTTCGGAATGTGGCAAAAAAGCCAAGGTTCTTCCCATTTGGCATTGCACCCGAGAGTAATTGAACTATCTACTCTATTTCACCATTGAGGTAAATATCAAGCGTGATAAGGTCAAGACAGGTATCGCTCTTTGGGGGGGGCCTAGCTTGTACATAAATTAACCAAGTTTAGACAGTCCGTACGCCGTAAAATGCTAAACTAGATCGTACAGATTTTACAACCTAGAAAACGGACTAGTTCCTAAAAGATTAATCCGTAAAGTGACTGTTGAAACTTCTGGGAACACTGCCGTATAGCTGGCTCTAGAGGAAGATTGTTATTGGGGATTGTCTTAGAGACACTGCAGTGGGATGAATACTATTTCATAGCCCTCCTATCGTAAGTACATGCTGCATTATACTCCTTGCTTAGTGCTATGGGGCGATTCGGCTACCCAAAGCCGACGTTGGGATTGCGGAGTGTATGGTTGGCTTATTCGACAACATTATTTAAATAGTATATGAGCTATACTAGTCCCACCACCGTAGATGTGAAGGAGTAGCTCTGGTTTTGGTACAATGTTCAGGGAATGTCAGTCCGCGCTTCGCATTAGTTATTCCGCGTACTCTTACTATTTATCTACCAGCCTGTTCCACGCACTTGGACGTATATGCCTGATCAGAGTTCCTTGATATTGCAGAACCGTCTCTTTCTAGTCCTTGCCTACCTGAGAGCCTGGATCCAAGTGATGGCGTATAGTGTAGTACATAGGGTCTCCACCTCGGGATCAGGTGGAGATTCAAGTATATTTTTACGTGATTGGACGGTATTCAAAGAAAGCAATCTTTAATATCTAGCATAGCTATGACTAGTGATATTAGACGTTTTCAAACCAGTTAGATCGAATGTCTTCCCGCACGAAACACCTCTTGGATTAGTTATGATATGTAGCTTAAGCTGCAGCGTTGGCCTCCCTTTTCGAGGTTACTACTTAGTTAAACGCCACTTGTTAGGAACTAATCATTAAGAATAAGGACGTGTGTATTTAGTTACGCGATTAGTCATATAGTAGAAGAGTTATTATTATGATATCTAACTTTTAAGAGCCGAGACAGAGAGGGAAATGTAAGGTTTAGAGTACCTCGAGTATAGTATTAAAACTAATTTTGTCTAGGGTAAGAAAAAAGAAAAAACGTCCGCAGCAAGTCATGAAAGACTGATGGTGTAAATGGTGATGATATGAGAATGGGTAGATATATGCACTAGTCACCCTCACTGCTCTACAGGGCCTCGTCGAAGGAAGAAAATAAGTGTTATAAAGGCGGCGAGACATATCCCAATGTGACTTGCGGTTTCTAGGCGAGAGCGCCAGACATCCTCGCCGCGTCTGAACCAAGGTAGAGCACGCCTGTGTCTATGTCGCCGATGAAAAGGTGCTTGTTGGCGGGCGACTGGGAGGTTCTGGTTGTGAATTGGTAGGATAGATATGGGGGTCGCATTTGCGTTGTTGTTATTGTTGTTGTTTCTGCGAGGAGGCATGGTGGTGCTGGAAGAGGTGCTGTAAGTATAGTCATGTGTTAGCACGATGCGATAAGGTGTAACACTAAACGAACTGCAAAATTACGTACGTGAGGATAGGTAGGAAACAGCTAGATTATCGCTCGTAGAGTAATGCAGGATACCTAGGAGCCTTTCCTCTAAGGAAATGCTTGGTTTTAAAGACTTGGGGGTGTTGTAGTGTTCTACGGGCGCTAAGCTCGATATAGCAGTGCCCATTTTTCGAAACTGTCAGACACGACTCTTCTCAAGATAGGCTTAGCTCAAGTCCCTTTTGTTGGCGAGGACAGAAAAGTACCCCCCCCCCCCCCCACTTTGATACCGCACGGCCAATCACATGGACTTTTCCCACCAGCTCATGACAATGGCCCACCTACGTACAGAGGTGGCTTTCAAAAGTTATTGCTGACAGGGATAATCTGTATCACTACCGAAGTACTACCAGAGCTGATCGGATCTGTCCTTCTGCCCGTCCTTATACTCATTTCCGCTATCAAGTCGAATTATTTCTTTAATATAAAATGGAATCCTCTCTATCCAAGCTTGTATTTAGTGTTAAGGCAGCTCCTACTACTAGTGTAGCCATGCCTTTGCCCCTTCTACTCTATTTTTTAGTACTCTTTTGCTCATTATTCTCCTTTTAAGCCATGCCTAAGCTAGCTTAATAGAAAAGAAGATTTTACTGTAACGATCGAGGCACGCGTACAAATATTAGTATTCTAAGTCATTTTTCATTTAAAAACTCCAAAAAATGGGTAGATATCTACTCCTCCAGCTTCAAAAAAATTAGTGTAGATGCTAAGACAGTCGGGCCGATAGATATCCCTGTCAGCAATAACTTTTGAAAGCCACCTCTGTAAACACCAGCCTGCGGATGCAGCTCGACCTAGCCGTCTAGCGCACCACACACAACCTACCATGGTGGGGAGAATCGGGTTAGCCGGCTGCGCTCTGCGACTAGGCTAGAACCGCCGCTCCTAAACAGATACTGCCACAAGCTTGCGAAGCGAACGCGAATGCCTTGCAACATCATGGCCTATGGGCAATCTTGTTTTATGTCAATTCTTAGTAAAGTGGTACTTACTAAGAGTTAGCCGCCAATGATACGAGCACGTTTCTTTAGGCATGCGACTATTTGAGTGTGGGAAGAGTTATTATTGTGAATTGGAAGATGGAAAACGGAAGGCGGGAATCTGCAGATGTTGCTGCGTTGCAAACCGCCCTGACTAGGTGTCTTGCTATCATGCAACTTTCCTTACACTTTGAGATGCACATCTACGACTAGACAAATTTAAGGTTTGCAGGCTTTCACTATCTACAAAATCGAGACGAGATTAATTGTAGTTCTGATGAAACTTAGTAGAACACACCACTGCAACGTGCATAGTACTAGTGGTAGTAGGTATGCAGCGGACTCAAAACAAAAACCGCGAAATCCAAGCGTAAGCCATATACTACATGCACATTGTTGCAGTCGCTCTCCACGTGCAATCGAGTGATAGACATTTGAGATTCCGAGGCCCTTGCGCTATTGCTCATAACTATAGTGACCCTGCCCCGGGGATCGCCTCTCGATCCTAGTTCCGAAATTGACCCGCTTCGACTCGATCGCATATAGCCGGGGTCATCCGCAAGGAAAGCTTGAATCCCACGCTTTTGAGTTCTCACCTCATTCCTTTCCCGCCTCCACACCAGGCATAATGAGATTAATGTCCTGCGCGTTTTACTAATTCGCACGACATTTTTACAGTGCCTTTGATCGGAATCTCCAGTCAAACTTTTACAATAATCTTTAATAATTTACCCCTTTTGTATACAACAACAACAGTCTCTCTTATACCCGCAGAACCGCGACAACAATAAACAACACTTTTTATTAATCATGACATCCCACCAGGACGCAAAACCTTCGAAACCATTCTTCCCTTTTACCATCCCGAAACTGCATCAAAGTACCGATCTCCCCACTTGGTACGCTCACAACTCTTACATCCAAACCGCATACCGCCCCATCACAAAATCCACGCGCCTCTGCCTACAAAGCCTGACCTATCTCCACAACGAAACAATCAACATCTACTCGCACCTGATCCCCGCGGCCCTCAGTCTCTTCTTCAGCCACTCCTTCAGCACCTCTTTTGCGGAACAGTTTCCGCACGCGACGTGGAAGGATGAAGTCATGTTCCGCGTGTTTCTCAGCACGTGCGTCATTTGCTTTGGCACGTCGGCGGCGTATCATACGCTGATATGCCACTCACGTGCGTTTGCGCAGCTCTGGGTACGACTCGATTTTGTGGGTATTGTCGTGCAGATTATAGGGTCGTTTATCCCCGGGATTTATTTTGCGTTTTATTGTGAGCCCCGGCTGCAGAAGATTTATTGGAGTATGGTGAGTTCTTCCTAGCCCGCTTTGTTGATGAGATTGGAATTTGCTACGTAAGGAGTTGATGTTGACTTTTTTTGGGGTAATAGATTATTACGCTGGGAATTCTGACTGCGACCATTGTTCTTAGTCCGGGTTTGCAGGACCCAAAGTGGAAGTATTTACGCTTGTCGACGTTTGTTGCTATGGGGTTATCTGCCTTTGCGCCGATTATCCATGCTGCTAGTCTTTTCCCTTACTCCCAGCTCGACCAGCAATCTGGCTTACGCTACTACTTCCTCGAGGGCGTTTTGATCCTCGTCGGAGTTGGGTTTTATGCAGTAAGTCTTCGACTGACGTTGGTATTGACTTGATTGCTTTTTTATACTAACTTGCATCTGTAGGCTCATTTCCCAGAATCCTGGAAACCAAAGCGATACGACGTTTGCGGCGCGTCGCACCAAATTTTCCACATCGCTGTCGTTCTGGGCGCTGTAGCGCATTATTACGGTATTATGAGCGCGTTCGAGTGGAACTATGCCAATCAACGCTGTGCGTGGTGAATACCGACGTTTTATTGAACTTAACCAAGCACAACGGTATTGGTTCGTCGGTTGCTTTTTAATATGCGCAGCGTACTCTAGTGCCCTGCGACGAATCTCGGGCCATTATTTTGGCACTCGAGAACGTATTTCTAATGTAATAGGTCACGTCTGTTTGTCTGTTCCCTAAGTCATAGATTTACGCCCTCTTGACTTCGGTGCCATACACCTTGCATCTATAATGGTATTTACTACATAATCGATCATTTAATGTTTAAAAATAAACAATCATAATGATTTTAAACCAAGCGGTTCATCACAAGAATTTATTTGGTATTCCCTCCACCACGATGCAGTTGAGCCGTTGTTCACGTTACCATTTTTTCATTATTAGTCCCAGGCCCCACTCGCCAAAAAATTCTCTAGCTTCCCGCACTTCGCCAACATACAATCCTTGTGTCCATATGATATTCTCAGACGAATCTGTTGATTCCTTTCGTTTTGCTCTGTTCTTCACGGTGATAGATTATGAAAATTCATAAATACTCATCGAACAACCAATCAAATGGTGAGATGGCCGAGTTGGTTATGGCGCCAGGTTAAGGTTATCTTAACATTATATTCCTGGTCACGAAAGTGGCGTGGGTTCAAGTCCCACTCTCATCAGCATTCGTCTAGATCCGTCTAGATACCCCAGGTTCTTTTTTCCTTCTCTTGTTTTTTGTTGGGCCTTTGACTTGAATTGACTGTGAAAGATATTCATAACAAGAAAAGTCGTAGATGTAGAGGGGCTCACCAGTTGGGGTAATCATCTTTTTTTCTTCTCTTCAATATCTTTACAATCATATCGTTCACAGCGGAATGTACTCAGTGTTCCTTGGTGTCAGTCCTTGTAAGCCGTACTCGACTTGGAGACGTGATAATGAGAAATTTCCTGTGCAAAAGTGACCCATTACAACTCCAGTGTCCCAATTCTGCTTCCTGCATTGGAGTTGTTACCCCAAACACCCTCGCCTACCCTCCTCCTAACCATGGTAAGCACGTCCTGTCTATCACCATTTTGTTCGAGCTTCCTTCCTAGCGTCTTCAAGACCTCAAACTTTGCAGTTGCAACGATGTAGGCCGCATTCTCAGCATCACCACGACCGCCGACGAGGTTGGAAAAGGTCGTAGCTGGTTTCAACAGAGAAGGGAATACTCCGCCGCTGATGCTGGGATCGAGGATTAGATCGATGCCGGACTTTGGGAAGGAGTTAAGACGGGCATATGTTGGATCGTTTACGGGAACGTCTGGGAGGGGTTCGGTAGACCATGAAGCCGTGATGAGGGCACCCACGAGCGTCAGAGCAGCCAGGGCATTTTCCTTCATAGCAATAGTTTCCATGTGAGTTGTCAAGTCAGCGAACATGGTCGGTTTCTTGCTCCAGAAAAGGGCAGTCAGGAGACGCGCATATATGGCTTCGGTCTGTGTACGCTTGCTATCGGAACCTAGGGCTTCGGTCTGTGGGAATGTGACTTCTTCTTTCGGTGGACCATGGAAGACGGCTGCTAATGTTTTCAAAGCATCTTGGTTTGTCCTGGTAATTGGCATGTCTAAAATGATACAGTCGTCCCAAGCTGGCCCAGAGGCTCCCCGTGGAATCAGTGTTGATCTCGGCATTGCAGCGATGATGTTCAGATTGCTTGCCTCGCACTTGCGGATATTTCGATGGACGTAGTCACGAATAATTGACATCTCGCTGCTACTCTCAAAGTTCTCAGGGTAACATGAAGCGTAGTCGCTGATGTACTGTGCTGTCCGATTGCTCAGGAAGGAATGGTCCACACCGGGATTTTCTGAAGTATGGAAGTCGATCAGGTGCTTGTGAATGCCTTCCTGTTTTAGGAAGTCCAAGGAGAGGCTTGAGTCATAGTGGGAGAGATGAGGTCTTGTCTGAACCTTTGTGATAAGTACGCTATAGAACTGGATTAGTGACATGTGCATGAGTATGTCGTCTTCCGTATTGACCATTTTCAATGCGGCGTAGTGGAGTAAGCCTTGGTTTTCTTTTAAACCGACTTCTTGCTCGACAGGGAGACCATATGAAGAGACTACAGCATTCCAGTCCATAGCAGCAACGCGAGGCAGCCATGATAGAAGCCTAGCTTGGGAGATGGTCTTGTCCCGCTTGCTCAGAAGCGGAGGTGGAGGTGAAGTGAGCTGTTTCAGGGATGTATAGTGATAGTATAGCGAACTGATGTCGCGGTCGCTGAAAAGCCGTCGCCACATAGGGCCAGTGCCATATGTATGTAGTGAAGACTTGCCATCAATGGCTACAGGCTCGTTCTTTGATACTTCGAGTAATGAAGTGAGAAGGTCTTCGGCTTGCGTCGCAACTCCCTCATCTTGCGTACACAGCCACAGACGGACTGTGGCTAATATGACTGATGGACGGTTGGCCAGGGTCTGAGCATCTGTGCTACTTGCGGTGGCCTTCTCGAGCAGTGTGAGCAGAAGGCTGTGGAATGGAGTAGCCTGGAGATCGAGGCCAATCTCAAAGTCGATATCTTTGATGTCCTCAAAACGGTATGGCCCAGCTAACTTGACGATGAAATGTACGAGTGGCGACGGATCTTGCTGAAGTTTGGGTAACAAGGCGGCTATTTGCAGGAAAAGCGATCTAGTGTCCTTCCAGCCATGGCTCCTATATTCCGGAGTGTTTGTGGAGAGCTCGCATCGTTCGAGCAGGTCTGTATCCAACGGACAGGTAGGATCTTGGTCGACCTTTTGCAGATGGTCCGAGAGCTCACTGAGGACTGCTGTTGGTGTGGCCATGGTTGAGCTCCAGCGGGATAGACGGTACAGTAGAGAGGACAAGGGCTCAAGTTGTAATGGTAATGACCTCGGTCTTGCTACTAGTCTGGAGTACGGCTGATAGAATAAGCTGTAAAGGAATGTTCTAGCTCCAGCTCATGTGATTTCGCGTCTTAGGTCGAATGCACGCGTTCCCTGTAGCCTTGGATGGGTGAGGGGCGGCGTGTGGCGGGGTGATAGGTGGGTGGATGCAGATGGGACCCCACTCTCAGCCCTAGCAGACCGCGGCTCGAGCTGCACCCAAATAATTTCTGACTCGGCAACTTTGCCCAACTCTTAACTTGACGACATCGCCCTTGGCCTTGATCGCGGCGGAACCAGCACACGGGTCGCGCAGGCTTAGAGACAACATGCCGCCAGCAGCAAGAGGAGGAAGAGGCGGAGGGCGTGGTGGTGCGCGCGGAGCCTTCAATCCCGCACGAGGAACAGTTACCATCGCAGGCACAGAGCTCAACTGGGATCTGACTGGCCTCGACATCCAAAAAGGCCCTGCTGAGCGTTTTCCCGTGAGCTCACCCTATTCTGGTGTATCTACTTGACTCTGCGCAATTCAAGTGAGCACGATGGGCTTGGCGCATCGCGTTGCCTATCTTCACATCATGCGCCCGTAGCACGCCTTTGGACCACTCACTGAGACATGAACAGGAAGCACCTCCTCCCCAGGCGCCTCCACCGACAAACGATGAGCTCGATATGGTCCGACACCACCTCGCGGTGCGCGACCGTATCCACGAGGGCCCCTTCTATACCATCCTTAACGACGGCATGAAGAACGGCCTCAAGAGGAAAGCCAACGAGCCCGCGCCCACCGAGGCTTCGCTTTTCGACCCTTTCACCGGCAATCAGACGTACTCTGCCAAGTACCTAAAAGTGCGGAGAAGACTACCCAAGCTGGACGCCCGCCCATACGGTGAGTAGATCGCGTAGACCACCATACCTGTACCCACAGAACCTGACAAAAACCACAGTCGTCGACCTCTTCCCCGCCGAGCTCCGCCCAACCCTCGACGTAGACGGCACCCGCACCGACGGCACCGCCACCAAAAAGCGCCGCACCCTCGGCGTCACCAAAGTAAACGCCGAATCCCAAATCGAGCGCCTCATCCGATCCGAGCAGCTGCGCACCAACGAAGCCGAAGCCCGCGCCGAAGAAGAAGGCGACGAAGACGCCGATGAGGACGAAGAGGATGCAGACGAGGATAAGCCGGATGCCGTGGACGAAGAAGATAACTGGTCTGCTGCTTCTACCGACTCGGAGGAGTCGGACGACGATTACAATGCTGAACAGTACTTTGATAACGGCGAGGATGACGATATCGATGATGCTGATCCGTATGAGAATACGTATGAGTAACCGCTTTAAGATAACGGGGACTCCATGGAGAAAAAGCATGGGCAATGGCGCGTATGGAGAGTCATTTTTGCCATTACATCAAGCATCAATTTAGGCGTTAGTTCAATCAGATTTAGATACCCGAATCAGAACAAAACTTCAATGTATTTGAGCGTTTAAATCACGTACAATTTCGTTCGCTACATATGTGCCCGTATGCCCATCGCTTCGTCAAATTAAATAATCCCCCTTAAAACGCCAAACATGTGCTTGCAAGAACGAGAGTGGGTATGTTGTAAATCAAAAGCCCGCTGAATACAAGAAAGCAAGATCAAGCAAGAACCAACACAATCATTAAATCTCACCTTATTCCTCTTCTTCCAAAAACATTTCAAATCCCATTCATCTAGCAGGGCTGGAGGTAGTTGGACGGCACAAGACCTGGTCGACCCTGCTTGCCCACTGCTTCAGCCTCCCACCATCCATCATCCTGCAGACGGAGCACGGCAAGGATATCTCCCTTTTGGAATCCGAGTTCCTCTGGGATCTGGGCTGCGTACGAGTACATGGCACGAGCTGTGTTATCGTTAGTCAAAAAATCCCTAATGCCGCATTCTACAACTTGCCCCTCCTCCAAAAGAAAAGAAAAGAAAAGAAAAACTTACAATAATTCAAAATCAATCGTCCCTGACTGTTATAGTTCTTAGGCTCAGCAAGACTCTTACTGCGCACTCTCGACTCCGCTCTCACAGAGCTTCCGGATCCACCATTGAACCCAAATTCGCTGCCCATGTACGAACTCTGCGGGCGGGCGGTATTGGCTCTGCCGCGCACACTTCCTCCGTACTGGCTTCCGCCGTAGACGCTGCCGTCGCCGCGCTCGCTACCCGCGGTGGAAAGGGCCAGAGCCATTTCGCTACCTAGAGAGCTACCAGGCCGATCAAAGGATTGACGGAATTGAGGGTTGGGGCTTGCTGCTCTGGAAGATGCGGCTGCGCGGGATTGTGGACGGGATTGGGCCTGTGCAAAAGCTGGTTGAGGGGGTTGCTGAGGAGGTGGTTGCTGCTGTTGGGGAGGCGGCTGTGCCTGTTGTCTGGAAGCAGGTCGTGATGCTTGCGGAGCAGGCTTCTGTTGTGGGGGAGGCTGCTGCTGAGGAGGTGGTTGCTGAACAGGCTTTTGTGCTGGAGGCGGCTGTGCTTGCTGTCTGGATGCAGGTCGGGACGCTTGCGGAGCAGGCTTCGGTTGTGGAGGTTGCTGTTGCTGAACCGGTTTTTGTGGTTGAGGTTGCTGCGCCTGCTGTCTAGATGCGGGTCGTGGTACTTGCTGGACAGGCTTTTGCGGTGAAGGCTGCTGTTGTACAGGCTTTGGCTGCGGGGCCTGCTGTTGTTGGACAGGTTTCTGCTGCAGAGGCTTGGGTGATGCAGCAGGTTGTGTGTTGTTGACAGCCGGTGATTGACCACGCGAAGACGTGAATGTGTTACGCCCCATAGGTGTACCATAAGCCTGAGCCGAAGCACTGCCCGTCTGAGCCCGCGGTCTGCCTCCAGCACTAGATGGAGCATAGGGATTTGGCGACTCCGTTCGATTGTTTGAAGCTGCGGGAGAAGCTGGTGGTTGCTGCTGTGTCTGCTGTCTAGACATGGGCCGTGATGCCTGCTGAGCAGCTGGTGGCGTTGCCTGCGGCTGTGCCTGCTGTCTAGATGCAGGCCGTGGTACTGGCTGGGCAGCTGGTGATGGTTTCTGCTGCTGTGATTGTTGTCTGGATGCGGGCCGAGGTACTGGCTGAGCAGCTGCTTGTTGACGTAGCGGACGCTGAGATGCTTGAGATGGTGGTCTTTGCGCAGGCTGTGAGGGAATTGTCGACTGTCGCTGCACTGGCTGATAGGTTGACGGCGATTGAGGTTGTTGCTGCGTTGGAGTGGTTCGGTAGGAATTCTGGGTCGGAGTTTGTTTTGCCGTTTGCAGAGTTGGTCGTGGACTGACAGCACGTGCAGGTGCTGGAGAGGCAGTTCGTGGGGAGGCAGCCTGTGGAGTAGTAGCAGCAGCAGCAGCAGTACGGGGAGCCTCCTGCTTTGTTGGGCTCCGGCTTGGAGGGCGAGCTGCATCGCCCCCATTGAACATATTCACCTTTTGATTCACATACATTTGTGTGGTCTTTTGCATCTGGCGAGCTGTATGTGCTGGCTTAGGGGCGCCCAGACGGGACATGGGCGGCTGCTCGTATGAGGGCGGAGGCGTGCCCCTTTTTGCCGCAGTGATGCTGGCACTAGAAAGTGGTGTAGGTACGCTGCCAGCCAGCTTTGAACCGACAGCAGGAGTAGCAGGAGGTGCCGGTGTGGCAAGACCGTGATAGCGATCTGCAGTTTGGCGTACAGCAGCTTGTTTGCGCTCTTCAGGCTGACGGACTGAAGTCTGCTTGGTAACGCCCCTCAGCTCTTCAAGAGCCTGCGCAATGGGATCGAGTTCTTCCTGCGCATCAGTCTCTGGTTCCTGCTTCTTCTTGTCCGGTGAAGCAACGTCAAATACATTGTTACCAACGTTGAGCTGGAAGTTTGCCCGTGGATCAGCTGGTTCTGGACCGGGAGAAGGTGGCTTGCTCTCAATAGCCCGAGTAGGCCTGATAACAAAGCTTTTTGTTAGGCTATTATTCTCTTCGGTATTCCGCCGCGAGGGAGGTGTCCATGTTTTCCGGGTGCTGGGCGCAAGAGCTGGAGGCTCGATCTCATGCTTGCTCTTTCTCCTCGCAAACGGGCTGTTGAAGAACCCTCTCTTCTTCTGCACTGAACCCTCTTCAATTGGGCTAGGTTCAGGGATCGATGGCGCAGCCATCGGCTTACCAGGTGAACAAGAGCCACTGGGTGGCTCGACACTCGAGAAAGAATTGGGATTTGAACAGTCACTCTGCGAACTCCTACTAGCAGGACGCACTGGACTTGGAATTGAGTTTCGATCAGTTGGCGCACCGATGCGGCAGAATTGAGTCATCCCATCTGCCGGGTAGTCGTTGAGGGGTACCGGAGTTTGCTGATACTGTTGACGTGCCTGCTCTTGTGCTTGGATGAGTCGAGAGTCTGGCTGTACTCCCCGTGTTGCTTGGGGAGATTGCATCGGCTGTGGTGACTCTACACGTTGTCTCAGTGTGTCTGCGCGTTTTCGTAGAGGCTCAATCTGCTGCTGTTTTGGTGGTTCTGTATATTGCGGTTTGGGCGGCTCTACATATTGCTGTTTGGGCGGCTCCACATATTGAGGTTTGGGCGGCTCCACATATTGAGGTTTGGGCGGCTCCACATATTGAGGTTTGGGCGGCTCTACGTATTGAGGTTTAGGCGGCTCTACGTATTGCTCTCTCGGTGGCTCTGTATACTGTGGCTCGGGTGGCTCGACATATTGCTGCTGAGGTGGTTCCTCATATGGTGGTTCCACATATTGTGGTTCGGGTGACTCGACATACTGCTGTCTAGACGGTTCCGTATATTGTGGCTTTGGTGGCTCTACATACTGCTGTCTCGGGGGCTCGGTATACTGCTGTCTTGGTGGTTCGGCATACTGCAGCCTCGGTGACTCTGTATATCGCCTTAGCGGCTCCACATGCTGCTGTGACTGCTCAATGTATTGTCTTTGCTGTTCAACATATTGCCGTGATTGTCGCGGTTGCTCTGCGCGTTGCCGTGGCGAGTCGATATGTTGTCGTGGAGATTCAACATATTGTTGCGGTTCGTCTATGTATGGTTGTGGTGACTCGGCCGCCTGCCGAGACATATCTACTGACTGACGGGACCTGTCGACGGATTGGCGAGATCGATCCACTGACTGGCGAGGCATATCTATCGACTGGCGAGACCGGTCTACTGACTGTCGAGGCATGTCTATCGACTGGCGAGGCCTATCCATTGACTGGCGCGATCTGTCCATTGACTGACGTCGGCTATCTACAGGTTGAAGGGGTAGAGCATCAATGTCGTCAGGTAAGATTGGACGTGTGTCCCTTTGGAGACCCATCTCTCGAGCCAATGGGTTATTTGGATCGTGATGCGAGTCAAAGTTGGAAGGCGCTGGCGATGAAGCGCGATATGCCGGATTCAATGTCCTGGCGAATTGTGCGACTGAGTAGTTCTCGTCCTCGGAGACTTGTGAAGAAGTCTCTGCGTCGCCCTTGCAAAAGTTGATGAACTTGGGCGCATCTGGAATTTCCTGACCAGTTCCAGACTCTTTGATGAAGCCGGTAATGTCCTTTTCTACGTCGCAGTCCTCAAGCGACAGTCGGATTTTCTCGCAGGAAGCATCGTCGCTGACACATACGGTCGAGGCGATGTTTGCGAAATTCCACAAGCTGCTCTTGGTGTAGTCGATGCGCTCTTCTTCAAGATCTTGAAACTTGTCGCACGCAGCTTTCCAGTCGCGGTTCCACCGGCCGGTGGTTTCTTCAAGCACCTTGACTGCGGCCTCGTAGTCGGCGCTCGTTGTGGCTAGGTTGATCTGTGTCTTCTCCAGCTTGGCCTTGTTCTTGCGCTCTTCTTGTCCCATGACCATGTGCGCTTGCGCTAGGAAGCCCTTGATCTTGAGACAGTCTTGCTCGTACTTGTCGCGTGCCTTGTTCATGGTCGATGTCTGCTGCATTTTCAGCTTGAGCAGCTTCTCAATGCCATTCTGCACAATCTTTCTCCGCTCCTTCATTCCACCAGCGAAGGCTGCGAGAGGCTCTTCTAGCTCTGTCTTCATCTGGTGGGCTACATTCTGATGCGCCTTTCCCATGGATTCGACCTCGGCTCGGATGACATCGCACGACAGTCGAAGGGTGCCAGTTTCGCAAGATCCAAGTGGCTTTCGCGATAAGTTCAGGAGTTTTCGTGCATAGTCTTCTTCAATTGATGCTCGCGCGGCGTAAAAGTGTTTGAGTTCGTCGTTTGTGACTTTGGCCGCATGCATGCGGTCGAGCATGGGACCGACGCCGGCGTCATCTTTGCCCCAGAAATTGTTGGCGACTGGTAATGTTAGCTGGTTAGTGTGCAGACTGCAGTCAGGTATACATACACGAGAGGGAGACCGAGGGCGGCTCCGTCGCCGTTGCACCCATGGTGGATATGTGTGCACGACTTCAGCGAGGGGTAATTGCGACAGTTTGTAGTAAATACAAGAAAGCGAATGCTATCTAGAGTGGTTTCAGAAGAATGGCAGGCTACTCAAACATGCAGGCTATGGAGCAGCGCCGGATGTTGGGGATGTGGGCCAGGGTGTGCTGGCGGTGAACCCTGTGTTGACCCTCGCGAGAATCACCATGGCGACGCGAGGGGTATTGGTAGCGCTAAGCTGACCAGCCAACCCCAAGGCGAGCCCAAGGACGACATACGTATGTAGTATGTGTGTTTAGGTCGGGTGAGGACGACAAACGCACACGACTATTTTCCTTGTTCGATTTTTCTGTAGAGTCCCATCTCTGCAGCCTCCTGCGCTGGGCGGTGGCTGGTTAGCATGCATGGTCTCTCTCATTCACTGCGATTGCTGCATTGCCATGACGCAGGGCCAGCGGGCAGACGGGTATGTTGCACTTGTTAGCCTCGACGTGTTGACCATGTGTTGCCTGCCGCAAAAAGTAAAGCCTACAGCGGCGGGCGTGGTGAGGGTGTCGTCACTGTGGTGTCCGTGTATGTGTGCATTGGTTACTCTACAATCTGCACACACACTGGCCGCCCGCCATTCCGCAGTGGCCAGTGTAGGGGAATGGCATCATTGACGCCAGACACGTCCTGGATGCCCAACACAGCGAATATCGGGTCATGTATGGAATAGTACTGGGCCGCGGATACATGAGTATGTGTGGCGAGATGCAATGGCGGACATGGCTGTCACCAGCGAGGCGGCGAGGTGAAGGGTGGGCGAGTGTGGGGTACTGCTTGGTCTCTATGTAAGTATATGCTTGTACGCGGGATACGGTGCTGCCACAGGAGGGCAGCCTGGTGAGCCCGCCCACCAAAACGGAGCAATTGAGTTTGCGTGACTGGAAACGCGGGCTAGAGTGCAACCATGACAGCAGGCCGTCTGTGAGACAAATAAAGATACACGCAAACCTTCGGCCTCCTCTAGCTGTCCCGCTGCTGCTGCTGCTCCGCCAAACTCGAGTCAAACGTGGCCCTGGTGTGTCGCTGTGCCTCTGCTGCTACGTGCCAAGCCCGCTTCGCTCTTCCTGCATGGCCGACTGAACGTCTGGTTATCACACCCGCACCCAAAACCTTACAATCCCATCGCCCCCTCCCGCCCCCTCTCCCTCCCCCAGCCGCCACGCGCTGCTCATGGAAAGCCTCCTTCGATGAGCCAGCAACACCCCTGGGGCGCCCCGAGACAATCCCAAAGCACACGCCTCGCTCCCATCTCCACGGCCTTTGCCCACGACCACCACCTCCACCAGCACCAGCACCAGCAGCGCAATCCCAGCACCCCCTCGCCCAACCCCTCGCGCCACGCCCAATCGCCCGCCACTGCTCACTTCCCCTCGCTGCCACCCGCCTCGTCCTCAACGTCGTCGCCCTTTTCGCCCGCAGGACAGCAGCTCCCCGCCAGCCAGCTGCTGTCCTCCCGTGGGTCCAGGACCATAGCGCCCCAAGCTGCATCGCACCTGGCTTCCTCCGCCGCAGCCGCTACTCAGGGCGCCAGTGCACAGTCAAACAGCGGCGGAGGAGCCTCCAAGCTGGTCCGCGCCTCGCCCTCGCTCTCAGTCTCGAGCACCACCGGCTCTCCCAGCACCTCGGCCCACTCGTCTGCCGCCTCGTCCCAGAACCTCTCCCGCATCGTCATCGCACAGATATTTCTCCTGCTTAGCCAATTCGGGCCAGTCAAGGACGACAAGGACCGCGCCAAGTGGGACACGCAAACCGAGCAGATCAGGAAGGTTCGTTGCCCATCCCTTCTGCGCTACATCCCCGCCTTGCCCTGCCTTACTGACGCGCCCCCAGCTCGTAGACACAAACGGCATGGAGGTCTTTACAAAGTACTTCCGCCGTGTGCTGCAGAACAATGCAGCCACCATCTTCGGCTCCGGCGCACGCAATGCCGACCCCAATGGCAGCTACCAGATCCTGCTCACCGAAGTGCTCAAGATACGGAAGGATCCCGAGCAGGCTGACAAGATCGCAGAGTCCATCAGCACCAGCGAGGGTGATCTGTTCCGTGACTTTGATCTCGCCACATTCATATCTCATTTCAAACTAGACTCGGTCGCAAAGACAATGCTGGCGCTCGCCTGCAGGAGGACAGATCTGCGGTCCAAAGGTGCGCGTCCCCTCCCTCTGTTCGCTGACTCTAGCCACTAACACTTCTCAGCCGACGCGGTTCTATCTACCATAGGCGATGACTTACTCATGGCCATCGCGCAGCCGGCCCAGCCAGACGACATGAATCATGAATACCTCGCCGCACTCGTCGAACGCCTCCTTCAGGACCCACCACCAGGCTGGGATGAAGAGAAGAAGATGAGCCTCGCTTACGCTGTCCAGATGCGATATCAGCAGACACATCAACAGATACCAGGCATCGTCGAATCAAAGTTGATACTCGTCGAGCTTACTGACGGGGCGCGTAACCCTCTCGTCAAACTAGTCAAGCAGGCAGGGCCCCAAGGCACGGCGACGGTCGAGGCATGCAAAGAAGTGCTTGCATCGGCTGAAACACGCGACATTAGCTACCAGCAAGTTGCTGCAGTTCTGCTCTACCTTGCCCTTTCGACCGGATACAATGCGAAGAATTTTGTAGCCGCGCTACGTGAGCACCGGACGGGACAACGAATAGACTGGCAAGACGTAGTGCTTGCCTTTGACCGGGATCACCTTCGCATCGAGCGACATCAATTCCTGGCCATCTACAACGCATTGCTTCCCGTGGCCCAGGAGAATGAAAAATTCGACATACAGGCACTGTGGGGAGGTCAATGGCAACATGACTTGACGCAGCTGTATTTCGTAGTGGCTTTCCTGTCATCTACAAGGCAGGAGCTGGACGTGACACAGATCCCCAGGCTCCGCACGTCATACTCGATGAAGACGTTTGAAGGGGCTTCAGAGGATGCAAGAGCCTTTGCCGAGGAGGCCGTCAGACATCCATTTGTTTCGCTGGACGCAACGGCGGCTCTTTTCAACATGATCTTCCAGACTTCAGAAACGTACCATACAGCTCAGCTGATGGGCATACCTGACTTGGTCATCAACCCCCACACAGCAGAGTTCCTCGTAGCAGCAGCGGCAGTCCCAAAGCCATGGGGTGCGTTGCAAGAGCAAGCATTGAAGCAGCTGTTTGATCCTTATTTTCACAAGAAGTTACCCATATACAACTTTGTCCTTTACGGCTTGTGGCAACAGGATATCCAATGGCTCGTGGACCGCTTTGTCGACGCATACAACGCCGACTCGATGACCCTCACTTTGATCCTCGAGCACGCCGAGACGAATAACTGGTTGGAGCCACTGATCCGCAGTAACACTGATATCAGCCTCGACTTGGCTGCACAGGCACACGCACGTGGGAAGTTTGAGCTTGAGCCCTGGCTACAGCAGACATTCGACCAAGCTGGGCCACTCTTCCGTCGCATTCTGACCAACTTTCTCAGTGCGCGGGCAGGTGAAGAGATGCAACGCCTCCGAGACGACCATCAACCTCTTAACCTGCCACTAGCAGTGAAGACGGTGTACCCACTCCTTTGGTTCCTTGCAGAATGCGGTCTGCCCGAGCAGGAACTACTTCCCCTGCAGCGAAACTGTATCCAGGCCTATCCTCGCCTGATAAACTATGGCGAGGGCGTGGACGACGTCATCGACGCCAATGGCCAGAATGGTAACGCACTTCCTGAAGAAGCCGACAAAAAGATGCAAGAGCATTTCAAGAACATGTACAGCGGCGACAGCGATGTTAGAGATATCATCTCTGCTCTGAAGAAGTACAAAGAATCCCGCGATCCTGCAGACCAGGACCTGTTTGCCTGCATGATTCATGGCTTGTTCGACGAGTACAACTGTTTCGGAGAGTACCCACTCGAAGCATTGGCGACGACTGCTGTGCTTTTTGGCGGTATCATCAACTTCAATCTTCTGTCCCGCATCGCACTTCAAGTTGGGTTAGCAATGGTTCTAGAAGCTGTCCAAGAGTTCCGTCCTGAAGACAGTATGTATAAATTCGGACTTCAGGCTCTCATTCACTTCTCGAATCGACTGTCTGAATGGCCCAACTACTGCGACCAACTTCTTATCGTCCCTGGACTCCAAGGCACTGAAATTTATGCTAAAGCTGAGGAAGTAGTAGGTCAACAAGTCGGCGAAGTCAACGGCGAGGGCCATAACGGTATGGGCATGACTAACGGTAACGGCGTCGACGAGAATCTTCACCAAGAGCCAGCTGTGCCCAAGTTCAGCTGTCTCTATGTCGACCCGCCACTGCGCCCAGAACTATACGAGGACCCAGATGAAGACGTTCAAGACAAGGTCTTGTTCGTACTGAACAACGTGTCCGAGCGTAATCTGCGCGACAAGATCAACGACCTGACTGAAGCTGTTGAGGAAAGACATCATCAGTGGTTCGCCAACTACCTCGTTGAGGAGCGTGCAAAGATGCAGCCCAACTTCCAACAACTGTATCTCGACATGCTTGACCTGTTTAATGACAAGATGCTCTGGGCCGAGGTTCTTCGAGAGACATATGCCAGTGTCGTTCGCATGCTGAACACGGACTCTACCTTGGGATCTACTGAACGTGGCCACCTGAAAAACCTGGGTTCGTGGCTCGGATCCCTGACCATAGCCCGCGACCAGCCAATCAAATTCCGCAACATTTCATTCAAGGACTTGTTGCATGAGGGTTACGATTCAGACCGCCTCCTATTGGTGATTCCGTTTACCTGCAAAGTATTGGTACAAGCCGCGAAGTCAACAATCTTCAAGCCTCCCAACCCATGGTTGATGGAGATGCTGGGTGTGCTCATGGAGCTATACCACTTTGCTGACCTGAAGCTCAACCAGAAGTTCGAGATTGAAGTTCTCTGCAAGGGCTTGGAGCTTGATCACAAGGACATAGAGCCAACTAACAGCATCCGAGGAC